GTCTCCTACAAAAAAGTGTCTTAGTCACTTCCCTTGTTGCTGGGACAAAATGCCCCACACTCACAGCTTAGAGGAAGAGAGGTTCATTTTGGCTCATGCATTTTAGAGGCTTCAGCCCAGTTGGCCAGCTCCAAGGTGGGAAGGGACGTTGGAAAGGTCCAGTGGAGGAGAGTAGCTCACGTCATGGTGGCCAGGAAGCAGCGAGAGAAAGGAGGAGCCAGGGAGGGAGAGGAGCACTTCCAGGCCATGTGCCCGGTTACCCGCCTCCAACCAGGCCCCTTCAGGGTCAGAACTGAGGTCATGCTTGGATGCAAAAGGGACCCGAGAAAGCTCAGAGAATGCAGCTGGCCTGGTTGGAGGACATGGAAAATTTGGCAGGATGGGGGCTGGGGATTTAGCTCAGCGGCATAAGCACCTGCCTTGCAAGCAGGCAGTCGTGAGTTCGATCCTTGGTACCGATAAAAATGAAAAAGACAAAAAAAAAAAAAAAAAAAAAAAGAAAAAAAAAAAAAGAAAATTTGGCAGGATGAGAAGAGGCAGCAGAGATCTGGGCAGAGCCAAGACCTATGAGTTTGTGATTATTCATTCAACAAACCTGAGTCAAGCAGAAACTCAGGCTTGAGCAGTCTCTGTGGTTTGCATGGAGAGATGGTCTTTCTGGCTCCATGGCATAGGAGTTTCTGGTGGAGGAGCCCCAAAAGGGCTGGGTCTTGGGAGCCGTGATGCTTCTCTGGGCCCTGTGGGCAGGCACAGACTTGGAGAGGCACTGGCTAGGGCTGGGGCAGGACCAGGGAGGGCGGGTTCCCAGCCAGATCTCGATCAGGCCCCTCATCCTGAATGCAGAGGACTCCATGGTCCTGAGGAGGACTTCCCATTTCCTGTGGGAGTTCAGTGCTCCAGCCTGCTGCCCATCTGCCCAGTGGGGGAGGGGGTTGTAGGTAATTAGAACTTCTGTCCTTCCCTCCTGGGCCCACTCATGAGGCTGCCTTGACCCAGGCAATGAGAGGCGATATCTAGAAAGGAAACACAGTGAGTTTCCTCACCCTCCAGTCCCTCCATGAATGTGGCTGGGTGGCATGGAGTCACCCAACACCCTGTCCACAGGAGGTAAAACCAGACCTGCCTGTGGGTGCACCGGCACCCTGTGTTAGCTCACTGAAGTCTCCCAACAGCCCTGTGCCTGGAGCCCTTGTCATCCTGGTTTCCTTTGCAGGCTCAGAGAGGCTGAGTCACTTGTGCAAGGTCACACAGCCCTGCTACCTCCAGACCCAGGGCACTGGGCTCCAGACGTTCACGTCTCCATCTCACAGCCACACCAAGCCGGCACGCAGGTGTGCCCGAGCCTCCAGCCCCGGCAGCCCCGCCTCCCGCTTCCCTTCTTGGGGCTGAGTGTGGCCTCCTCAGATGTCCGTGTGGGCTGTGCAGGTGCCTGAGACATCCCAGCCCGGGGGGAGAGAGTGCGGCCTAGGAGTCACATTCCAGCTCTGCTGTGTGGTCCTGGGCAAGCTGCCTCACCTCTCTGGGCCTCGGTGTCCAGCCCTGGCAGATGTGGACAGGATTCTCGAGGGGTGTCCTAGGGCACTGAAGGCCTCCTCAGCGCCCTGGGTGGATGGGATGCCCACCAAAGCCAGAAGCCTCTGGGTGGGGTGGGACATAGAATTGTTAGATTGTGGGTCACAGCAATTCTCTGCAGAAGCTGCCACTGAGAAAAATGTAGGAGCCACCCCCACCCCACGGGGAACGTTCCATGATCCTCGGCATCGCTCCTGCGTGACAAGGAGCCCAGACACCCCCGTGACAGCGCAGCCCTAACCTTAGGCAGCGGGCACAGCAGGCCTTGCACGTGCTAGGCAGGCGCTCCCCGTGGAGCTTCATGCGGCCGCAGAGAGCCCTGCCCAGGGCTCCGCAGGGGGTGAGTGCGGGCACTCGGCCGTGTGTCCATGCTGCTCTGTGCAGCCCTCTGCCGGGGTCTGCGCGTGTCTGTGCTGTGGGCGGCTCTGTCTGCCCAGCAGCAGCAGCATCAGGTGCGGTGCGCTCGGCAGCTCCCTGGCCCGGCTCGGAGCCCGCAGCCCCACATCCCCACATCCCAGGGCCGCGGCTCCTGACCGCTGTTCCCCTCACTGTCCTTCCATCCAGCAGGCTGGCACACAGCCTGGCGGAGGCCACAGAAGAGGGAGTCCCAGAGGTCACTGGGCTGAGGGAGCAGGGGGACAGGCCACAATGCCCAGGAGTGACCACTGCCTCCTGTCTGGTGCGAGCTACTGATTTTGGGGCAGGCAGTTGATTTATGCCGAGCTTCATTGTGATCATCCTGGGTCCTCTTGGGGACATCAAGTCACCAAGTTATAATAATATGATCCCCGCACTAATACGCAAGTTCTACTGAGGGCTTCCGTGGTGGCCCACAAAGTGCTAAGCCCTTTGCAGGCCACATGAGGCGACTTCTCTTATGATACCCATTTGACAGTCCATAACACTGAGAGCCAGAGATGTGACTCTCCTGAGGCCGTGAAGGTTCAGAGCCGGGGCTGGAACCCAGACAGTCCACCAAGTACTGGGGGTCAGTGGGGAGCAGGAACAGTTCTGCCTGCACGGGTGGAGATGGGGGACAGTGAAGCCCGCTCTGGCCTGAGCCCTTGGGGTCGGGGAGGCACTGTCAGCAGCGTGAAGATGAGGAGCAAAGGCCTGGCTGGGCCCAGCTCTGCCCCACCCGAGCATGGAGGTAGTGCGGTGGCTGAGGTGGCATCTCTACCTCAGGAGGGGCTGGCCCTGCTGAGAGCCCCTCTCTGCTGAGGGTGTACACCTGTCTCCTTATCCCCACCCCAAGAGGTCGTTTGTACCCCTTAGTGCTCTCATGCCAATAAGGCCCGTGTTTACGGCCGACGGCAGACACATTGAGCTGCTTAGCCTGCTCCCCGCCTGGCGTTTGCCCGTGTCTAAGAGGAGGCCAGGGCCCTATTCTCACCGCTCCGTAGCCGAGCTGAGCATCTTCTTTCCTTTTAATAGCTCTGCTCCAGGAGCCGAGTCCCCTAATCTCTCCCCCAATCTCTGGTTACAACACGTTATTAATCCCACAGCCATATGGCGCATAAAAGGTTTCCTCATTCTGCGGAGTGCTGGTCATGATGAGTCTATCGGGGGCATCGGGTTGAATCCCTTCCAGAGACAACCAGAAAAGTCTTGGGAATGTGGCAAGTGCATTAGTCACTGTTCCATGGCTGGGACAAAGTAGCCGACAGCCTCAATTTAAAGGAGAAAAGGTTGATTTTTTTTTTTGAGCTCATGGTATCAGAGGGTTCAGTCCCTGGTGGAGAGCGTGGTGGAGGAAGCTGCTCACTCACGGCAGCCAGGAAGAAGAGGTGGGAAGAGCTAGAGAAAGAGGAAGGGGCAGGGGACACATCCTGGGGACACACTTCCTCTAAATAAATCCCACCTCCTATCGGCACATTCAGCCATGAATTCACTGATAGATGAACCCACCATTGAGGCTGGGTTCTGATCACTTCCTAAGGGCCCCAGCTCCGAGTGTATGAACCCTTTGGGGAACATTTTACTTGTTATGGTCCTGGGAGCTGAACCCAGAGTTTCACACCTTAGGCAAGCACTCTACCGCTCAGATGTACCCCCACCCCTAAGGGGGCATTTTTAATCCAAACTAAGACATCAAATTACTTGATCTCTGTGGGCCTCCATTGCCATAGCTGTAAAATGGGGATAATAATAGGACTCATGTCCAGGGTGGTTGTCAGGAATGCATACTTTTGTTCTAATAAAGCAATGTAGACGAGACGGTGTCCCCACAGAGCCAGCCTACGGAGGGTTGGTTAGCTATGATGACGGCGCTGTCTGGGTTTTGACAGAGGGCTGGCACCAGTGCACAACCTTTCCTCTCTGGGGAGGCAAACCCTGGTGTGGAAAGATGCAGTGACTTTCCATAAGGGCGGCAAGCCAGAGGACATGTGTGGGACGATGCCCACCAATAGCAGCTAGGGTTGGAGTCTCAGCAGGGACCCAACTTGCAAAGTGCTTCCCTTTCTGGATCTCAGTTTCCTCATCTGTAAAATGGGCAGAGGCTTGGTTGGCTTTCCAAGACCCTAAGACGCCTCTGATTCTATACTTGAGTGGTAGGCTGGGGTGTAAGTCACAGAGATGGATAATGGTAGGAGGGACCTAACCCTCAGCCAGTGGAGACTGGTGGGCCCAAAGCTATATGTGGCCCTCGGGGCTCTCCCTGTTGGTCTTGGTTTAATTTGCATTTGAATGTGTTGGCGTGGGCTGCTGCTCTGTGGATCTTGACCTGGGGCAGACCTGAATCTTTCAGAAATTAGTAGTGACTTAGTGACTGCTATGGTTGTTGTTGAGGATAAAGACATTGATCTTTATCAGCAGCTCTGAGCCCATTCATGTCAACAGGCTCATTTAACCTCAGTCTGTCTGTGCTGCAGGCGGGCACTTTACGGGCAGCCACAGCCATTCAGAGCTCTTTGCCTGCAGTGAGCCTCAGCCTGGTCAAGGCTGGGCCACCTGGGGGCCAGTGACCAGCCCCTTAATTCCTGCTCATCACTGGTGACCAGGTGGGCTGGGTCCAGCCCTGCCAGGCCCAGGCAGGCTCACGCTGGGCCAGCCCTTTGGGGGAGAGGGTAGCAGGAAGGGGTACAGTTGTCCCCCACATCCATGCTCTCTTTCCATCCCAGTCTTGGGGTTGGAGGGGCGCTAATCCTGAGGGCTTAGGATGATCAAAACAGCAAGTTGAAAGCGAAAACCCACAGCATTTCCCCACAATTCCCTCTGCCCCTTGAGGAAGGAGGTGCGTGTGTTCGCGGCAGCTTTCAAGTTCTTGGGAACAGAAAGGAGATGCTTTCCTCCGAGCTGGAGCCTCAGTGCAAAATGCTATTATTAGCTTTGCCTTCCCTGGCTGCCGGAGAGGCTTTCCCTCCAAGAAGTTATTAAATGTGTGATTCTCTACAAAATAAAAGCATGCATCCATGTTTGTAGCCTCCAATACCATCTCATTTATTTTTGTGATTTTTATAGTTGGGGTGCTGCATCCCACGGAATGTGGGAGGTCCAGGGCCCAACCTGGGAGCCCCAGGCCTTGCACAAAGCTGTTTATGGGTTTTGAGGCTATAAATTGGGGCAGAGACGGAGGGGCTGAGGTTCCTGGGCTGGGCGGGGCAGGGCTGGGCTGAACCAACAGGAAATGAGGGGTCGGCTGTGGGCCCCGGGTGACCTGGACTGGCTCCCTGGCAGAGGGACCCTTCTCTGAATCATCTCAGGAGCCAGGACTTGAACTGCTCTCTGAAATCCTTCCCTCTCCTTCGGTTTCCGTATCGAATTTGTTTCTAGTCTTGCTGGTTTGATTTGCTAAACAGTCTCGAACCCATCTGCTTTTACTCCCTCGCCGTCAGGTCCTGTCACACAGGAGGACAGGGGCCCGTGGCACAGGACTGCAGTGGGGGACTGAGGTCCCCATCCTGACACTGCTGTCACTCGCGCTGTGACCTTGGACTGGGGTTGCCAGGTGTACAGGGAATCAAAAATCCCGGATGCCTGCTTGAATTTAATAAGCAACATTTGCGATATATTCATACTTATAAAACTTCCTTGCGTATCTGAAATTCAAATTGAACTGCTCATTCTGTATTTTATCTGGCAACCTTCCCTTGGACAAGCTCCTCAACTTCTCAGTCGCTGAGTCCATGAAATGGGGGTGACTTTAGCTGTGGTTACGGGGCTGCAGGGGTGAGCAAGCATGGGGTGAGGGAACCCATCTCACTCGATCAGCTTCCTACCTTGCAAACGCCTGCCTCATTGCTACCGTGTCCCTCTCCTCAGACTTCGGCAGAAACAGCAACCCACAACGTGAGGGATGGAGGTTAGACCCAGGTGGAACTTCCCGGCAGCGGGGAGCAGCCTCGGCCTTTCTGTGCAGAAAGGTGACCAGAAGTGCGAAGCTGCTGCAGCCCATCACTTGGGTTTTTGGGGGGCACCGTGATGGGGCTGCAGCAGGCACACAGTGACACGCTCTCCAGCATACCGAGAACGGATGGGCTGTGACTATGCCAACCGCACGGATGAATCACGCCAGCGCCGCCAGGTCGGCTGGGAGAAGCCAGACAGGAGAGCACACGCGCGTGTGATTCTGTTTCATCTCAAATTCAGGAAGGCGACACGAAACTGGGCTGTTGAGGAAGCACCGGGGAGTGTAAAGAGAGGTGGGAAGGCACCGAGGAGGAGGGCTCCCGGGTACCCTTGGGTTTGCGTGGAAATAACCTGTCAGAGGTGGGTGTGGTGCACACCCTCTTACAGGCGGGCGTGAGACTGACCGCACGGTGGAGGAAGGTTTCGGGGGGAGGGAGGTGGCAGGCTCAAGCCGGAGGTACCCTATCGCTTCCTCTCCCAGCCAGGGCCTGCAGGTCTAGGGGAGCCCTGGGGAGGATGGGGTGACTGGGAAACTGACCTCTCGGCAGTTAGTGAGGAAGCAAGACCTCGCCCCACCCAGCTGTGCTGCAGGCTGCAGGCTGCAGGCTCGGGCCTCCGGCCTGGGTCACACTCATTAAATCCCCCCTTGCTTTGCCCTTGGGGTGCACCTACCCATGCAGAGGGTGAGAGAGGAAGAGGGGAGAGAGGCCGAGGGCAACGGAGAGCCTGAGGGCCCCAGAGTGGTCTGTGTTCTTAGCCTCAGTGTGTCTGTCCCTCCCGCTGTCCCCAGGAGCAGAGAGACTTACTCGAGGCAGTAATCGCCAGAGGGGGTGGGGGCTCTTTGGAGGAACCCCGGGCGCTGTGCCCACTGCCCTTCCAGAAGATCTTGACCTCGCCCGGTCCTGCGGGTGCCACCCCTGCCAGTCCCACTTTCCTCCAGCCGGTGCAGGTGCCCGCAGCTGGTCTCCTGCCTTCTGCACCTTAATTCCCCCGTGAGTGACATTTAAGGACGAGCTCTTCATTGAGCCATAACAATTTACAAGGCGTGCAGCGCAGGGCTGTTCTGGGCCTGCAGGAGGGGAGCAGTTGCCCTTTATCGTCTGCTGGGGTGAGGGGCCAAGTGATGCATGCCCCTCATTAAAGCCCCAGGAGGGCCAAGGGAAGGAAAACATTTTAGCAAGTCATCCACTTCCATTTCCCCAGTCACCCTCCTGGTCCAGAGAGCCGAGCCTGACAGCACCCAGGCAGGGAGGCCTTTAAATGTCTAAATGTCTTCTTTACATCCGCCCTCCCTACAGCACCGTCCAGGGGGAAGCCAGCAGATCCCAGGGGAGCAGGCCCACCCCGCCACCTCACTGCTCAGCACAGGGACCCCGAATCCTCTCCCACGGCTCCTCATCTCCCAGGGCTCCCTGGGAGGCGCAGAGGCAGCATCGGAACTCAGGGCTGTGGCTACGGGAAAGCCAGGTCTTTCCCAGCATCACAGAGGCAGTGACTTGGGCTGGCTCCAAACCTGGCAGAGGGGTGAAGAGGGAGGCCCAAGCTCTTCCGCAGCAGGAGGAGGTGGGCAGGCGGGGCAGTCTCCTCCCTGCTGGGGCCAGCAGCTCTCCTCAGGGCTCTCCCGCTGCCTTCTCTCCTGCTCCTGCTCTCCCTCCTCTCCGCTCGCCCCACCTCCTCCGTCCTGCCTGGGTCAGCCTGGCGAGTGGGAGAGGAACCACCCCGGCCCCGGCATCGCGGCTCTAACTCCCGGCTTCCCCTCCACCGAACGTCTTCCCAGCACAGGGCTTCAGTTCCCCACGCATAAAATGGATCTGACCTTTTTCAGTGTTCAACAGTTATCGTGAAGACTAAAATAAATCGCCCTTGATACGAGGCTTGGCTCAGAATAGTTACCCAGTGGCTGTGGGGAAATGGAGGCAGAGGTGGCCAGAAGATAACTGTAGTCCCTGGCATGGAAGGGGGCTGAGAAGCAGCTGCCCTGACAGGCTGGCCTCAGACTTGCAGTGATCCTCCTGCCTCAGCTTCCCAAGTGCTGGGATTACCTGTTGTTTGGGCATCCAGGTGGGGGCTGCATTTCTAGTCCTCAACCGTGGCAGGTGCACAGGATTTTGGGTGCTGCTTCCAGAAAAGATCAAGAATGGGTGCTTTTTCCCTGCCTGATGGGTGCTCTAGAGCACTCTGACCTCCTGAGAGGCTGCTGGACACAAAGCCCAGTCCTGGGGCAGAAGCCCAGCTGCAGTCTGGGAGAGGTCATCTCCTGAGGGACAGTTTTTCTTTGCCCCCGTCTTGGCAGCAGCAAAGTCCCTGGAGAGAGGCAGTGGCAAATGGTATAAAAATCTCTCCACAGCAGATTCACTTTCCTGGGCTTTGACAACTCTGCCCTGAGCCAATCTGCTGAACCCGGACCATCATTCATTGCCCTGAAGTTTTTCTTAGATGAATGGCCCAGACCCAGGCCCTGGTCTCACCCCCTCTGCTGAGGCCTGAGCTCCATCCCTGGGAGGTATGGGGAGTGAGGCTGGGGCAATCCCTCTGCCTCCAATCAGAGAGCTGAGCTCAGGCGAGTGAGTGACAGGGGGTCCGAGCCACACGCTCAAGAGGGAGACAGAGTTCCTGGGAGTCCAAGCGGGGAGCAGCCTGTCCTCAAGGTGGGGCCAGCACAAGCTGGGGCTGCAGGATGTCGGGGAGCAAGCAGGTGGAGGAGAGAGCCTCAGGGTGGGTGCTCCCGGCAGTGAAACAGCATATGCAAAGGCCCAGGGGAACCCTGAGTCTGAGGCCCAGGAATGGCAGGGGAGAAGATGGAGCATGTGTCAGTCACCCTTCCTTTGCTGTAACGGATACTCAGAGTAAGCAAACTTATAAAGTGGAAAGGTTCATTGACTCCTGTGTTGTGGGCCGGTGGTGGCCCAGAATAGCACGGTAGAAATACATGACAGAGGGGGCCTGGAGCCTCCCGGTAGCCTGGAAGCAAAGAGCAAGAAAGGGAGACACCGCCCGCGGAAGCAGGGACTACATCCTCCCGCTCGGTCCCCACCCCACCCCACCCCACCCCAACCTGTCATCTTGCCCCGGCCAGAGCTGGAGCAGAGAGCAGAGAGGGGGCCGGGCCGGCAGCTGGGGAGGCGTCACCCCTCAGACTCTGGCAGCCGAGGCCGTCGCCACGGAGCGGGCACCAGAGGTCTCCAAGGAAACCTGGCAGCGCCGAGCTCACGGCCAAGCCTCCAATCCTGCCACCTGCTCGAAAAGAGCCACGCCTGCCTGTGTCCAGCACAGCTCGGCCCCTTCCCGGACGGCTCCATTTCAGTGAACGACAGCTTGGCTTAACCATCTGAGCACTCGCGCACGCGTGCACCCACTTCCACCCTCGAGAGGGGCAGCCCGATCGGCCTCTTGGCTCCCTCCTGCTCTCGTCCCTCTTGCCCGGTCTGTGTCTCTAGTCCCACGGTTCTGTCCTCCCTGTCTGGTCGCTCCCTGGCTCTGCCAGCCTCTGTCACGGCTGCGTCTCTTTTCTGACTCAGTGGGTTTGTGTCTGTCACCCCATAGCCGAGACCTCTGTGAGGGCTACTGTCCCTGTCCCAGGCAGGGCCACTGGGCCTCCCCCTCCTGCCTCTCCTCTCCAGGTACCTGGCTGTCACCGGTGACCCCTCAAAGCCATTGATCAGTCACAGCGGCGGGGAGGCAGCTGCCATAGCACTGAATAAACACTCAGCTTCGCTTTTGTCTCTTTCTGGCAGCAGAGAAGCAGCAGGGGCTGCGGAGGCTCGGGAGGCTCAGGAGAATGGGCGTGGAGGGAAGCGGGGCCCACCCGAGGGACACAGGGACAGCTGGGGACAAAGAGACGCCCCAGTTTCCTGACCTCTCACTCTTAGCAGGGCACTCCTGATGCTGAGTGCTGGGGACAAGGAGTTAATAGGAATCCAAGAAGACCAGGCAGGGCATTGAGAGCGTGTGTGACAGGCACCGGTCTGTACTTCCTGACCGCTCCTGGCTGTGACCAGCTCTGGCCAATGAGCAGTCCCGGGAGAAGACCTTAACTACCCGTGGGCCGCCCTCCAGAGGCCTTTCTTTCCCTCTGGCACAGGGACCAGCAAGGTTGGAGCTAGCCCGCACATAGGAGTTTCTCCAGCAGCCCGGACATAGGAGGGAGAGGTGGCCTGAGCCGAACACCTCGCCTGGCTGCTTCTACCTAAGCAGCGTGGGCACAGGGTTTTACCCCTTGCCCGTGTGTCCCCTGGGCCAGCGACTGTGTCAACATCGGACCCCTCCTTGAAGACAGCCCGAAAAGGATCTGGTGTCACTAATTGTTTTCCTCCTAGCTCAGAAACAAACTGAAGCCTTTCAGATTTCTGACAAGTCTTTTCTTTTTCAGCCATCACTACAACATGCAGAGGGGAGTGAAGCGTCACAAGGGGCCTGGGCCCCCAGCAGGACCACCTGCGGGAAGCTGGGGTGCACCCGGCCTTCTGTTGGGCCGTCATGGCCTTGGGGCTGTTCTGACCAGCCTCAGGCATGTAGAGCCTGTTATCAAGCTTACAAAACGGGATGAACCACACCACCTGCCCGGGAGTCCCTGGACTGAGTTACTCTGTGGAAAGCTGTGCTTGCTGGCGCACACCTGCCTTCTTCCTGGACGTCGCTGGGCTTGCTGACCTGAAGAAAGCAGCCCTGCTAAGCCTCTCTGCCCTGCCCTGGCCCTGGGACTGACCTTGGTGGCCTGACCTCAGTCATCAGGCTTGGGGCTCGACTTCCCCAATGGCCAGTGCCACAAGAGATGGGAGGGAGGAAGGAGGGGTGCAGAGGGGGGCGTTTCCCCTGGAGTTGCGGGGGGGGGGGGGGCGCCAGGCAGTGTCCTCCACAGAAAGCTGCTGGTCTCATCCAGTGGCTCTGCATCCTCTCTGTCCCTGTCCCTGGGAGCCCAGCTCCCCTCTGAGCTCAAGTGCCCTGTGCTCACCTTTGCAGGCTGCTGGCACCTTCATTGAACTCCCGAGGGACTCAGAAGGCACCCCAGTTTCCAGCCATGTGGGACCGTTAATAAGATGCCCAGAGCCAAACCCTTCTGTGCTGCACCCCGCTGCATCTGATCTGCCTCCCCACATCCTCCTTCCTTGAAGAGCCCCTCTGTCTTGGCCCCCAACACAGCCCTACCGGCCGCCTGCACTCTCTGTCCCTTCCTACCGAGGCGCTGCCCTTCTCCCTCCCCGGACCCCCACAGATCCTGACCCCCCAGGCTAAGGTGCCCACTGCAGCCCACCCTCCCCACTATAAACCTGCACCGTCCCTCCCCTTAAGACCTTCCGTGACTCCCCAGTGCGAGCACCTCAGGTGACATCTGAGCCCCGCTGCTTTCTCCCACCGCCTCTGGCCCCTGCAGAGCCTGTGCCCCCAACACAGAGCTGTCACTCTGGACCCCTGTGTCTTTGCTGCACTGTCCATCTCCCTGGAGTTCTCTCTCTGGTGTCACCTCCTCCGGCAGATGCAAAGGGGCAGGTTCTGCTTCTCCTTCTCTCAAGGGAATAAACGGAGGGAAGGGCTGAAGCAGAAACCGGAACGGGGCTATGGCTTGGGTGGGGGCGGGGCTGCCGGCATCCGAGAAAGGCCAGCCCACACTCTGACCTTCTCTGCATGTCCACCTGTCTGGCCTTTTCCTTCCTTGCTTTTTCTACTTTTCGGACTGAAAATTCCACGGTGGCTGCAGCCTTGCAGCCCCGCAGGCTGTGCTGTGCTGCCTCAGCCCCTTAACCTCTCTGGGCATCCCTGGCCTGCCTCCCTACTGTGGAGGGCGGTGCGGGCTGGACTGGGCCGCACCCAGCGGGGCAGGGGCAGCTCCGCCCTCCAGCGCCCCGCCCTCGGCGCCTGCCCAGCTCCCCCTCCCCCAGTACTTGGCCCTCTGCAAACGATCGCTGTCCGCAGGGTCTCTCCACCCGCTTCTGCGGGCCATGGAAAGCAGCTGGGGTTCAGGAGGGCCCCGAGAGGCAGAGGGAGGAGAAGCCAGGGTGGCGACAGGGAAAAGATTTAAAACAGGACCGACAGGAAGGGGCAGCTCTGGGAGCCAGGCGGGCTTCAAAGCTTTGCTCCGAGCGAGGCCGGGCCAAGCAAAGCAGCCCAGTAAGCAGCCTCTCTCCTGCCCTTCCTTGGGGAGCAGTTTCCAACCAGGGACATTATTTATGATCCCAAGGAGAGGGAAGGAGAGGGCGACGCCACGTGCCCCCGCCCGGCAGCCATGGAAACAAACTCGCGTCTCCCGGGCTGGGGCGCCCGGCCGGCCACGGACGCCCCCGTGCGGCCACCCGCGGCACAGCACCCGGGCTGCCCGGCATCCTGGGCCATACCCATCACCGCTCCAAGTGCCAGGCTGCTTCTTGCCACCTACCCTGGGCAGTCCAGCCGCTCAGGGCCCTGGGCAGGCCCTGAGTGTCTATGGCTTGGCTTCCTCTATCCTCTCTGTAGGACCCTGTCCTGTCGCTTATCTCTCTGCTGATCTAGCATCACCGCACCTGTCAGCACACTGAACCCGTCCGTTGTTTCTGAGGCTGTCTCCTGCCATCCATCTATACGTATCTACACATCTATTACCGGCGGGGCGGCCACTATACATCACACGGGCCCCACTATCCATCATTTATCTGCATATGCATCATTCATGCCCCGGCCATCCGTTATACATCCCCCCTGCCACAGCCCCTTTTGATGTCCCGCACTTTGCCATGGGGGTTAACGCTGTCAGGCCCGCTTTCTCCCCGGCCCCAGAGAACAAAGAGAGGACGGGACAGTGAGAACAGAGAGGCTGCTGGGTGGGGGAAGAGCTG